GAGCAATATCCACGACATAGTTCAGCACCTGAATTTGACTGAACCACGAAAATGGACCTGCAGGGCAACCATGTATAAATGTTAGTGCGCATGCCCAACATTTCGTCGCCTATTTTTGCTTTGGCACCACAGCGCCACTTACAGGCCTGGCATACATTTTGCAGCGTTTTCATGCATTCGTGTGGTCGATCACATTTATTTTACATCTCTGTTTTTACGACAAACGTTCTGGAAAATATTAGCGTTTCGTGTTCGTTTTGACTTCGTGTGGACGGGGCCTGAAAGCAATGATGTGGTTAACATTTTGTCTCCATGGTAATTAAAATGCTCAAACAGGAAGTACTCTAAAGCAATTGGGGATCTTTATTGCTCGGTTTTATAAGATAAGTGATGCTCACTGTGCAGCAATTGTACCAGAGGTGCTGGATACAGACTTTCAAAACTTGATTGATTTTCTTCATAATTTAACATTTTCATTTATGTAATTTTTGGCAGATTATGCAAGCAATTGCAAAACTTTTAAGTGTTTTAGTGTTTACAAAAGAAATCTGTTCTTATGTTTTCACTTCATTGTTTAAACTGCCTGATCTTCATGTAACCTATGAAAGGAGCATAAAGCAAATTGAACATTTTAAGATATATGTAACTGTGTATGTGTTAATGAATAATCATGGTTCTGTCAACAAGTTGCTGAAAGCTATTTTTTGTCTTTCAGTCCCAGCCATCTGTGCTGTGTTAGGTTTGTTTTCACATTGGACTCCTGCAGTTAAATTTAGCCGGAGGGTTGTACAAAGACAAGCAGCTACTAATGAAATGGGGTGAAGAGGGTTTTGTTGGTGAGTCTACTCTTCTTTTTTAGCAAAGGAAAACATCTCTTGTCCATCCATGCTGCTTTTCAGACGAAACACAAATATTTCATGTTATTTCATGGACGGTGTTTGTACGTGAACTAAAATGATAGGCGGCTTATATCAAAAGTACCTAGATTATAACAAGAAAAAACTGATGCCAATTTATTTTAAATATATCAAAGTCAGAAATAAGCTTTACATGCAAACACCTTGGAATTCCAGCATCACTATTTTCACACTTCCGTTTTCCCCTTCTCAATCTGCTGTTCTAATTTTAGAACAAATCAATAGGTTATTTATAAATATATTGTTTATTGCTTGAGGAAAAAGCATTTCTTATCCTGAAATTAATAATTTATAAACTTGTGAACATAAAATATCTATAAAATTGATAAAAAAACTAATTTAGTTTCATGCCTGGCCATGGGGTTTCTAAGGTATTGGTGATCAAATTTGTGCAATATGTGTAGGTGGGCACTGAAATAGTTTGTATTATTACTTCAGTTGTGAGAGGCACAGGCAGCTACTCCTCTGGGATCAGACACTGATAGTCCTTTTCTGTGATACAGATGTTTTATTTCATGTGAAATTACTTCACAAAACAAAGATTACAGAGAAAAAGAGCCTTCTGGACTACATATAGATCACAGTCTCTTATTTTGATAAGAAAAGATACACACAATTAGAATCTATGTTGTTTTGTGACTCAAATATTGATATTTAGTGCATCAATCATAAAATATAAAGATTTTATTTTGTGGTGCAGATTTAACATGCTCCATTTTCAGAAAAAAACACTTCCATGGTAATGTTGCGATAAATTGTTGCAGAACAACGGAAGTACGCCGCTCTGAAGACACACCCCTGCGGCATAGGTTTTAAAAACCCTAGCTTCCCATATTCGCATCCTATTGTTCATGCCGCTCAAATGCTAGGCAACACTCAACCAGCTGAAGGCTACGCTACGTAGCAACCGATACCCCTCCGGGGAAGTCTGACCGAATCAGACTGCCTTTTTTCCTGCGATTCAGAAGGAGTTGAACGCAGTGTTTTTATTTTTTCTTCGATTCAAACCGAGTGAAAACAGTGTATTCTAAATCCTGCTAAAGCAGAGACCGGGCAGAGCAAATCCAGTTCTGCTCGGACTCTGCCGCCAAACAACATGGGCCCCTATCATTGTTTGCTGAAACAAGCCACTGGAAGCCTCCAGACTGTGACCGCCTGTGAGACGGAGGGCTGGAGCACTGCTGCAGAGATTCTGCTTCAGGCCGCGGCTATGTGCTAACCACCGTAGCTAAAAGGTAGACGTTGCACGTGCTACCGTGAGTCATAAAATTAACCCCCTTAAATAATTGTTGCAGCGGATTGATCCAAATCTCTGAGTTGCTGCTGGACGAATGGACAGACGGCCCGAAAACAGGCCTGCTGAGAATCGGACCGAGCTGAAGGCCTTCCCTCCACTGAACCAAAAACAGTAACTGCATTTCCCCCCTCTTTTCCATCTGATGCTTAATAAGTACTCTGCTTGGGTGAACTACAGGTAGTATAGATGGCCGTGTTGGTATTTTTATTTGAAAATTTCTGATTCAACTGCTGATGATAATGCTCACTACAGACAGAACGAGTCATGCGTTGCTGAAGCTAACTGCTAAATCGTAAGCTAACCCTCTCTGTGTTTCAGTTGGACCCCACCAGAACCCCTGGAGCCAGCTAAGCTAACCGATCTTTTAACCTCATCATAGTTTAATGCTTTTCCTGAGTCATTTTTCATTTTTCACCATAAACTGAATGAAACTTCACTGTTTTGACTGCAGTTAACATCTGTGTCAGTATTAATTTACATTTTATCTGCTGCTATTATAAAGGACACTTTTAAATACATTAAAAGGAACGCTTAACATGTAAATGTTTGTGTTCCCATTCTTTTTTTTTTTCAAATCTGAATATTTATGTAATGAATAAATTGACCTAAATATTTTCTATTTTAAATACATAAAAATGCCAAAATTTGTAAGCAAGCAAACCTATCCAACTGAAAGGCTTAAATTATATCATTTAAGAACAATCTGCTGTCTTTGTAAAATATCTGGAGAGAGTTTTGGGTGGATTGGGATTAAAAAAATAATTCAAAAAGTTTAAGTCTTTCTAGTCATTTAGATTTAATTGTTGGCTGTTTTCAGACTCATTTCTATACTTAATATAAAAAAAAAAAACGAGGACTAAAATTATTCTGAACTGTTAATATACAGTACAAAAATTATCACAGCCCCTTTAGGAATTCCTCGTCGTTCCCTAAAAGGACAGTTCATCCACTAATGGGACGCTTGTGTGTGGACGGGACACATCCCCATTTTTCTTGCATCCATAAAGAATCCATTCCTCTAGATTGACGGGATGCTTTAGAAATTCACTCAGTGTTTTCCAGAATAATCAAGAATAACTGAAATCATGGATTATTTTTTTTACATAGCCTTTATATAAATGAGCCCTAAATCATGCTAAATGACTACTCAAATAAACATTTTGGAGAAATCTGCTTAACTTTGCTTTAGAACTACTCTGGGCAGCAGAAAATTGTGTAACACCTGGACAAAGCCTAGACATTACCCTGGGAGAAGGTTGTTCTTCTGTAAATCTTTATTCTGACATGATTTAAAATCTTCAATAGTATGCTGTTCATTTGACATAGATTATTATGGTCTTCTGTTGTTGTTGTATGAACAGATGGTTGGTAAATTGAGATAAAATTGATATTTTAGCTGAGATGCCTGTGGGGTTACAGCAGTTTTAAAGCAATCAGCTGTGAACCAGATATGGAGTCTGAACATTTCTGACCTTATAGGTTTAACTGTTTGTAGCAGTTCATGAGCATTTTTTTTAATGAGCAGTTTTACTATGGGGCCTTACAGTAATTACAGTAAATTAAATTTAACTCTTTAAATTCCACATTGTGGGACAATAACGGGATTTTATTATTTTTTCTCTATTCTTAAGATAAATTTCTCCCCTGGAGAATTTAATGTCACAAAAGAACTGCAACCTGGGGTTTATTGGTTTGGCTGAAGTAACATTTGAAATGACTAATGTGTCAAACAGAGGTGGAAGCAGATATTTTTCAAAATAGAGGACATTTCTAAATAAAATGCTCCACTACATGGAGTTAAGATACAAACTAAGGCCAATGAAGTCACTATAAGCTGCATGTGGTTGGTAAATCCAATGAGCTTGTGCCAAGTTTTAAATGACTTAACCATCACTTAAACAATAGTGAAGATGTTCATCTCTGCCCTACAAACACCTTTTTTATTTAACTGCTGTTAGTCTATCATTCAAACATTAACATTGTGTCTGTTTTCCCTAGAGCCATATGCTCCACTCTGTGGTTCGGTTTATCTCACATTTTAAACTGAGGGGGAAATTTAACTCTGATGTAACACCTGACAATAACAATTTCTAAAGTGAAAGTGCAATTCAAAATTGATTGTGGTTTTGCAGATAGGGAAATGAGAGCATGGTGGAAGCAGACAGACAGATACTGCAAGAAGTTTTCATACTTCTATCTTTTTATTCATGGTGATAAATGGATGTAAAGCGGGGAGGTTAACAAAAAATAAAAGTCTTAACATATATCTTTAAAATACCAGAATAGCCCCATTAGTATGGAGGATAAAAAGGGCCAAAATTAAAGAAATAAATACAGCATTAAATAAATAAATGTGTCAATAATTTATCAATCAAAGTTAGGGGGCGGGGTTAACGCGAATCGAGTCTCTGTAATTGATTTGCTTTGCCTTAATGTGCAGGGTGACCAATCAGGTGTTAGATAACCGCCCCCTAACTTTTATGGGTGAGTTTGACAGATTCTTTTAATGGTTTCGATGCACTGCGACACAGGACCATGAAATAATTAAATGCACACTGAAATAATTATATATATATTTTTCATAAAATGAAGACGTATTTTATTAAATTAATGACATTTATATATTTAATTCCTTATTTATTTAATGAATTACACATTTAATTAATTGTTTATCACTGTATTTATTTATTTAATTGTGGCAGTTTATATTAGTGACGTGGTTTTAATTAATGAATGACACATTTATTTATTTAATTCCACATTTAATTAATTATTGACACATTTAATTATTTATTTAATGCTGTATTTATTTATTTAATTTTGGCACTTTTTATCCTCCATACATTAGTTACGCTGCAAATTCTGATGTAAAACTAAATATAAGGGTATTTACCCTCATTTGAGCATGTACAGTAAACGTATCTTTCCAATGGAAGAAAAAAAAAACATTTAAACTGCACTAGAAAGAAGTTAAATGACAGTGGTTATTTTTTTCTTATTTAATTTGTAAAACTTTTTGCAGTGTAGAAATATGCATGTAATCAGCATATAGAGTATGACTCAAATGCATAAATAAGTTAATATATTATTTCCTTCTGATTAATAAATATGAAACGCTAAGTTTACTCAGTTTTCTTTCATGGTTTTCTCAATCCACTCCATGTAATGGCAGATATCCAGCATAACAATGGTTTGGACACAGTTATCTTTAGGCTCGCTAACGACAACTCCTTGTAAATGACCTTCGTACTCCACAGCTGAGCCTGCATCCCCCTAAAAAAATAAAATACAACAAAGGTCAGAGTGTTTTAAATAAGGAGAGATTTAAAAAAAGAAAAGAAAATTTGTTTAGTTAGGAAGCAGGATGGTTTGCTTACACGGCAGGACTCCACTCCAGCTGAGAAGGCACAGACTGTAGATTCTTCACTGGCGTATTTACTGTCAGGTTTGTCGTTCTCACCACACTCAGAGATCACTGTTGTGGCGCATCTTACTTCCTTGACAGGTTTACCCCCTGAAGATTCAAATGTCCAGACATTTGATTTATTAAAAAAAAAAAAAAGTAGACAAATTTAATATTTTTTTCATATTCCCACCTTTTTTGCTTGCTCCCATGCCTCCGATTTCCACTTTAGCTTTTGGCTCCAGCTTAGTGCACCCTCCTGAAGGAAGGCTGATGGTGGGAGTTTTGGCTGACATGTCCTCATTTAGCCGTATGAGCATACAGGTGCTGGTCATAAAATTAGAATATCATGAAAAAGTAGATTGATTTCAGTAATTCCATTTAAAAAGTGAAACTTGTATATTATATTCATACATTACATACAAACTCATATATTTCAGATGTTTATTTTGTTTAATTTTGATGATTACAAATGACAACAAATGAAAATCTCAAATTCATCATATCAGAAAATTAGAATATTGTGAAAAGGTTCAAAATTGATGGCCCCTGGTGCCACACTCTAATCAGCTAATTAACTCAAACCACCTGCAAAAGCCTTTAAATGGTCTTTCAGTCTAGTTCTATAGGCTACACAATCATGGGGAAGACTGCTGACTTGACAGTTGTCCAAAAGACGACCATCGACACCTTGCACAAGGAGGGCAAGACACAAAAGGTCATCGCTAAAGAGGCTGGCTGTTCACAGAGCTCAGTGTCCAAGCACATTAATAGAGAGGCGAAGGGAAGGAAAAGATGTGGTCGAAAAAAGTGTACAAGCAAGAGAGATAACCGCACCCTGGAGAGGATTGTGAAACAAAACCCATTCAAAAATGTGGGGGAGATTCACAAAGAGTGGACTGCAGCTGGAGTGAGTGCTTCAAGAACCACCACACACAGACGTATGAAAGACATGGGTTTCTGCTGTCGCATTCCTTGTGTCAAGCCACTCTTGAACCACAGCCAGCGTCAGAAGCGTCTTGCCTGGGCTAAAGAGAAACAGGACTGGACTGCTGGTGAGCGGTCCAAAGTCATGTTCTCTGATGAAAGTAAATTTTGCATTTCCTTTGGAAATCAAGGTCCCAGAGTCTGGAGGAAAAGAAGAGAGGCACTTCATCCACGTTGCTTGAAGTCCAGTGTAAAGTTTCCACAGTCAGTGATGGTTTGGGGTGCCATGTCATCTGCTGGTGTTGGTCCATTGTGTTTTCTGAGGTCCAGGGTCAACGCAGCCACATACCAGGAAGTTTTAGAGCACTTCATGCTTCCTGCAGCTGACCAACTTTTTGGAGATGCAGATTTCATTTTCCAACAGGACTTGGCACCTGCACACAGTGCCAAAGCTACCAGTACCTGGTTGAAGGACCATGGTATCCCTGTTCTTAATTGGCCAGCAAACTCTCCTGACCTTAACCCCATAGAAAATCTATGGGGTATTGTGAAGAAGAAGATGCAATACACCAGACCCAACAATTCAGAAGAGCTAAAAGCCACTATTAGAGCAACCTGGGCTATCATAACACCTGAGCAGTGCCACAGACTGATCGACTCCATGCCACGCCGCATTGCTGCAGTAATACAGGCCAAAGGAGGCCCAACTAAATACTGAGTGCTGTACATGCTCATACTTTTCATGTTCATACTTTTCAGTTGGCCAACATTTCTATAAATCCTTTGTTTTTATTGGTCTTCAGTAATATTCTAATTTTCTGATATGATGAATTTGAGATTTTCATTTGTTGTCATTTGTAATCATCAAAATTAAACAAAATAAACATCTGAAATATATGAGTTTGTATGTAATGTATGAATATAATATACAAGTTTCACTTTTTAAATGGAATTACTGAAATCAATCTACTTTTTCATGATATTCTAATTTTATGACCAGCACCTGTAATGTCATGTTTACTCTCTTCATTTTTGAAGGTGTGCTGCTGATTAATTGGAATGATTTGCTCATGTTTTTTGGAGTTTCCTTTGAACCATGAAGCGGCTTTTGTAAAAATCGACACGTCGTTGTTTATGCCGAGCTTCACTTTGACATTCCTGCAAAGTTGTAATGATAGAACACAATAAGATCATGTCAAATTCTCTGAAATTAAATATATTTCCTTCAACTAGATAAAAGCACAACAATGCTAGGATTAAAAAAGAAAAAGCATAGAAGAGGAAAAGCAACCATTAGGAGTAATATCTTACTGCTCTGCACAGTGAGACGCTGTGATGACCCAGCGGGTGTTGAGCAGAGCGCCTCCACAGAGCTTCCCACCTTGAACAGACTCTATCTGGACGTGGTACTGCCTGTCCTTGTCACAGGACTTGCTCCCAATAACCCTCTTCTCAATCATTCTGGAAGCTGCACCTAAAATAGGAAGATTCAGCTGATTCAGACCTAAACGTGCAAAGCAGCACGTCTACAATGGGCAACAATCATCTATGGAAGAGCAGACGGCAACATTTTACCAAAACTATTTGTGAAAGTACCTGTAGAAGGAAAAGAAACTCACCTGCAGCCAACAAAATAAGGACAAAGCAAGGCTTCATTGTGGTTCTACCTGATGTGGGTCTCCTCTGGTGTCGGTCCGGTGGATGCTCCCTCTTTTATAGGCCTTATCAGACTTTGAAGGACCAGTAAAAAAATCCCCTTTTAGGACGGACAGGGCATGCAAATGAACCGAAAAGGACATAGATTAACCGGGGGTGCTTAGGAGAGCACCAACGTTTTATCTATATAATGTGTTTCACCCAGTTAGTTGAGTTACTGAAATAAATGAACTTTTCCTAAGTCAAATTAAAGAAATTTGTCATGTTATGTGTTCACACTCTTTTGCAACTGAATTAATAATTGGATATGACTACGTTTTTGTTTGTTTTTTTCCTTTGGCCTCCCTTAACAGTTGATATGCAACTGTTAAGGGTAACATATTGAACAGCTTTATTTTCATTTAAACTTTACAAAAACATTTTTATTCATTTCTTAGAGTAATTTATCTTGACATTGAAACTATGGAGGATAAAAAGTGCCAAAATTAAATAAATAAATACAGCATTAAATAAATAGTTAAATGTGTCAATAATTAATTTAACTTCTTTGTAGTGCAGTTTATATTTTTTTTTTTCTTCCATTGGAAAGATACGTTTACTGTACATGCTCAAATGAGGGTAAATACCCTTATATTTAGTTTTACATCAGAATTTGCAGTGTAACTAATGTATGGAGGATAAAAAGTGCCAAAATTAAATAAATAAATCCAGCATTAAATAATTAATTAAATGTGTCAATAATTAATTAAATGTGGAATTAAATAAATAAATGTGTCATTTATTAATTAAAACCACGTCACTAATATAAAGTGCCACAATTAAATAAATAAATACAGCGATAAACAATTAATTAAATGTGTAATTCATTAAATAAATAAGGAATAAAATATATAAATGTCTCATTAATTTAATAAAATACGTCTTCATTTTATTAAAAAATATATATATAATAATTTTAGTGTGCATTTAATTATTTCATGGTCCTGTGTCGCAGTGCATCGAAACCATTAAAAGAATCTATATATATATATCATATATATATAAAAAAAAAAAAAAAGAATCTGTCAAACTCACCCATCAAAGTTAGGGGGCGGGGTTAACGCGAATCGAGTCTCTGTAATCGATTTGCTTTGCCTTAATGTGCAGGGTGACCAATCAGGTGTTAGATAACCGCCCCCTAACTTTTATGGGTGAGTTTGACAGATTCTTTTAATGGTTTCGATGCACTGCGACACAGGACCATGAAATAATTAAATGCACACTGAAATAATTATATATATTTTTTTTATAAAATGAAGACGTATTTTATTAAATTAATGACACATTTATATATCCATCCATCCATCCATCCATCCATCTTCCTCCGCTTATCCGGGGTCGGGTCGCGGGGGCAGCAGCTTAAGAAGGGAGGCCCAGACTTCCCTCTCCCCAGCCACTTCTTCCAGCTCTTCAGGAGGAACCACAAGGCGTTCCCAGGCCAGCCGAGAAACATAGTCTCTCCAGCGTGTCCTGGGTCTTCCCCTGGGCCTCCTCCCGGTGGGACGTGCCCGGAACACCTCACCAGGGAGGCGTCCAGGAGGCATCCTAAACAGATGCCCGAGCCACCTCAACTGGCTCCTCTCGACGTGGAGGAGCAGCGGCTCTACTCCGAGTCCCTCCCGGATGACTGAGCTTCTCACCCTATCTCTAAGGGAGAGCCCAGCCACCCTACGGAGGAAACCCATTTCGGCCGCTTGTATCCGCGATCTCGTTCTTTCGGTCATGACCCAGAGTTCATGACCATAGATGAGGGTAGGAACGTAGATCGACCGGTAAATCGAGAGCTTCGCTTTTTGACTCAGCTCTCTCTTCACCACGACGGACCGGTACAGCGCCCACTTCACGGCAGACGCCGCACCAATCCGCCTGTCGACCTCCCGCTCCCTTCTTCCCTCATTCGTGAACATTTATATATTTAATTCCTTATTTATTTAATGAATTACACATTTAATTAAATGTTTATCACTGTATTTATTTATTTAATTGTGGCACTTTATATTAGTGACGTGGTTTTAATTAATAAATGACCCATTTATTTATTTAATTCCACATTTAATTGATTATTGACACATTTAATTATTTATTTAATGCTGTATTTATTTATTTAATTTTGGCACTTTTTATCCTCCATATAAACAGTTAGTTCCTTTGTTCAGGAATCTTTGCAGCAATGTGCTGCATGAAATGAACTGAAGCTCTTTTTCCCTCTGTGTACATCTGGTAAATAATTTCTTATTTTTTTACATTTAGTTTTAAAATGAAAGAGTTTTTACTGTTCAGTATTTATATATATATATATATATATATATATATATGTATATATATATATATATATATATATATATATATACATATATATATATATATATATATGTATATATATATATATATATATATACATATATATATATATATATATATATATATATATATATATATATATATATATATATATATATATATATATATATATATATATATATACCTGCTTCTGTTTCAAATAATTGTGATATCTCGGCTGTAATTAAGAAGTTGGAAAATGGTCTGAAGATGATCAGACTTTATGAAAAATAAAACTACTAGGGGAAATGCTTTTTTTCTTCTAACATCGATCAGATAAAGATGAGTCCAGTCTAAGCTGAATGATATCCGTAGCTTTAACTGCCAATTTACTGGTGTCAGTATCTATAGATCCATTTTAAGCACTTTAACATTTTCTGACAGGTGTGCTTCTGATCTTATGGTCCAAATTGCAGAATTAAAGCTCTAATTTTACGTTTGAGGCTAAAGACAAAGTTGTGAAGTAGCACATTGTCTTTGCAGTTGTAGTTTTGCATTTGCAAGATATATGTTCTATTTGAATATTGTGGTGTGTTTTTATCTGAAACCACAGACGAAGAACTAGTAATTTAGCATATCATTTGTTTCCGCATTTTCTTATTCGGTCATCTGGAGCTTGATGGACGTTTTGTTTCAGCAAAGTCCTGTTAAGGTGCTTTATTGTCCGAAGGCTCCTTCTTCATAATGAGTCATAGGATGGCTACCAATACTGACCAAGAACTGGAGGATTCGGCATTCACCTAAACTTCATACAATAAACAGATTTTTATTCATTTTCATTTCTAATTTTTATAATGTAGTTTGCATCTATCCAGAAGTGCTATACAGGAAATATTTATCTAGGTGTGCACAGAGACTATGCATGCATAAATTGTATATATATACCTGCAGCACATGTGGCACTCAGAAACAATAGCTTGGAACAGAATGGGGGTTGTTTTTCATTTTTATTTCCATGTAATCAAACAAAATATAAGAATTTTGAACAAGAAATTTGTTTTGTTCAGAAATACAGAGTAAATGCAATAAAATAAATTCACAAAGTATAATACGAATCAAATTTTTTTTTGTTCTCTACTGTTAATAAAGGAGATGATTATTTAAGTCATAAAACTATAATAAAGTTACATCATAAAAAGTCAAAGCAACTAAATATATTTTCCATAAACAGCATAAAAAAATACAGGAAAAGACGAGAAGCAAACAATCTGCTGCTAAAGGAATTTTTTGGCATCAAGGCTTTATTGTTAAGACAAACATTTTTCATCATTGTTCATAAGAAGGTATGTCGCTTTGAATCAGCCACCACCTCTACTTCCTAGTCATCTTCCATTAAAGTGACATTTTCTTTCTTTGCATTATGGAAAAAAGCAACCAAATTAACCATCATCAGATCTTCAACGTAACATTATCAGTTTAAAAATGATGCAGAAAGGTTTGAATAGAAAAAGTACACATTTTATTTACATTTTTTTGTATTCACTGAATAAAGATCTAACTTACTCTGCTAGCTGCATATCATCTTAACTTAAATATAATTATTAAAAAAACAAAAAAAAAACGGTTAAAGCCTGCAGAGGAAGTCATCTAGGTATGCAAAGAGTATTCCAGGAACAGAACTACCTGCACGACTACTGCACGCTTGGACCAGCTGATGATAAAGCATTATGCAAATTAAAATCTACTTCAACACATCTATATCACAGAGACATTAAAATTACCAGGTGACCGAGTTTATTTAAATACATAAATGGCATTCTGTTACCTTGGTGCCTACAACAAGTTATAAATATTTGCATTTCCCCAGTTTCCTCTCAGTGTTGCTTCACTTTGAATTGTGCAAACGTGCCACAGAGCTGCAGATCACTTCTACTGGCTTCAATGAGCCACAAAGCACAACACAATGTCCCTGCTTTGTGTAAATGTGTACAGTTATATTACAGCAATGCTTAGAAGTCCCTGCCGGCTGTAAACACAGATGTAGCAGACTGTGTTCGTTAAAGGGGAACACCGTTTTTTTACATTGGGCCCTTGATTTTACGTTATGACATCATGTTCTACTCGCCCATATTAGCTTTGTGTCATTTGGAGCCGTTCTGAAGATATTCCGTCAGGTTTTATCCAAGTAACGTCTTCCATTGGGCAACGACTTGAAGGCTCAAACTAAACTGTTCGCTACGCCAGCATTCATAACATGTAGGCGAATCACTGTCCCCCCGGTTAGATTTTTCATATCTATATTTTTTAAAAACAAAGCGGCGCGTGTATGACGTCTTCCGTGCCCCGGACTGGAGTGGTGACAGGCAGCCCGGGCCACAGGCGGCTACGCTCTACCGCTTCTATTCATTCTAGCTAATCTGAATCGTTCAATTCCATTTGGAGAGCGAGATCATCTGTGGTAGTAGCAGTAGGCGTCTTCCAGTCATGTGAGGAAAACTAGCAGCGGACAGGATGAATGAACGGTAGCCGGCGCGCACGGATGACGTAATACACGCTCCGCTTTGTTTTAAAAAATATAAATATAAAAAATATAACCGCGGATGTTCGGGGGACAGTGATTGGCCTACATGTTATGAATGCCTAACCTGACTCCGCCAGATGGATTTGCTCCACATATCCATCTGGAAACCTTCCGTTGAAGTAATTTTGGGAAGGGGCGAAAATACTGGTTAGCTGATTGGCCTATGTT